TAACTCAACTTCCATCCCACTATCCCATTTGAAGAAACTGAAAAGCTAAAAATTACATTCCTCATACTCCCTTACCCCTTGAGTTCTAAGTGCAAATAAGGTCTGACAAATAAGTGTACTTACAAAAAAACAGGTACAAATTAACTGGTAGCTATCTTCCTCCTGCTGTGGCCACTTGCAAGCAAGGCATGATGACATGTATGTGCCACCCAGACTCCTCTTATGGTTTTCATGGGTGTGAGAGACAGTAGTGGTGGCAGCAGCAGTAGCAGTGTCCTATTGTCAGCTTCCCATCCCAGCTACATTGTACTTTAGTTGGAATAAACTAGCCTTATGCCGTAGTAACAGGCAATTCTCAGAATATCAGTGGCTTAATACAATAAGTTTTTTTCTTGCTGACAAAATGCTTACTGCTGGTGCAGGCAGTTGCTCTCCATCTGCTGACTCAGAGATCTGGGCTGCTTCAATCTTGTGGCTACTACATCTTAACACAAGGTCTCCTCCATGACTACTGTGGCAGTCTAGAGAACTGCTCAGAGGCTTTTCACTGTCTCTCTTGGAAGTGACACATTACTTCTCACATTTTATTGTTTAGAACTAGCCACAAGGCCCCACCTAACTGCAAGTGGATTGGGAAATGTAAACTCCCACATGCCCAGGAAGTAAAGGAGGACCAGATAGTAGTGAGGATTAGTCATGTTTGCCAGAAGTGACGTGACTTTGAATTCAATAGGGTGCTGACTTTGCGCCTCCAGTCCTTCCTGGGATTTCAGAAGCACTGATTCACCTGGATGAAATCTCTTTGTTTTTTAAAATACCTAAAGAGGTTTTAGGTTCCTACAGTGAACCCTGCCTGAATCAGGTATATGCTAGTAGCTTCTGTCCCCTTACCTCCATCCATTGTCCACCTTTCTGTGCCCCAGGAGGCTGATGTCTATGAGCTGCATCTTCCAAACTCCTTTGTCCTCTCGCTTTGGTTGGTTTTGGATCATGGAAGTGACCAGCAGGAGATCAGAAAGTAGGAGGTGAGAGAAATCAGGATATTTATCCCCTCCTCCTTTCAACTTCCCACCAAACCATGGGCCCCTTACTCTTCCCTCAACTCTGTAAAAAGTCCTTTCATTAAACTTTACACACATGGGGCCGGCCCAGTGGCGCACTGCTACAGTGCGCCGCTTGGGAGCACAGCGGCGCTCCCGCCGAGGGTTCGGATCCCACATACAGACCAGTTCCCGCTCACTGGCTGAGCGAGGGGCAGGCGCAGCACCGAGGGTTGTGATGCCATTGCCGGTCCCGGTCCGGTGCGGGTGCAACACTGAGAGTTGCGGTCCGTTGCCGGACACGAAAAAAGACAAAAAGGAAAAAAAAAAAAAAAAAAAAAACTTTACACATTTAAACACTTTCAGTGTGACATCTGTTTCCTGCCTTGACCCTGACTCATACCAGGTGTTTAATAATCAAAACATTAGTCTAAAAAAGAATAGCAGACTGTCTGCCATCTTCTAGTTTTACTACATTTATAAGATGCAAATTTGAATATATCATTCCTCTGCTTTAAAGTTTCAATGGCTCCCTGTTATACCCATCACCACACCCCACTCTAAGTTGCAGCCAGACAGAACTAATTTCAGTTCCCTCTGCAACGTGGTCTTTCCTCCTCTGAGCCTTTGCATATGCAGTACCTTCTTCCTGGAAACAGCTCCTCACCCCACACTCAGCAATCAGTACTCAGCTCAAATGCCACTTACCCCAGAAAGCCTTCCATAAACCTACTTATCCTGGTTAGATGTTATTATATTCTCCCACAGCAGCCTTTATTCACCATTATATGTAGATAGCACTCAATGTTATATTATACTGCAACTGCTTGCTTACTTATCTGTGTCCTCCAATAGACAATAAGATCTAGGACAGGGACTGCATCTCAGATCTATAGGACCTAATAAGGTGCTTGGAATATAACAGACACTCAATAAATATTGCATAGTTCCTGAATGTTATTGAAAAATCTTGAACCCTCCTCCTCTAGCTAATGTCCTCTCTCTTTTCATTCACTGACAAAAATCAGAAAAAAAATCTTTAGTCACCCATCCCTTAATTTTACCTTCCATTCTCTTCCTAGACTATTTTAATCTTACTTTGCCACTATCTTTTATGGAAACTTCTTGTATTAGTCTGTCTTTGTTGCTTATAACAAAATACCTGGAACTGGGTGATTTATAAAGAAAAACAAAATTTATTGCTTACAGTTTCTGAGGCTGGGTCCATCTGGGGGTTGGGACAGTGATCCAGGCATCTCACATTGCAAGATGGTGGAAGCAGAGAGAGAGAGCAAGACAGACTCTCCTCTTCTTTTAAAGCCCTCAGAACCACACCCCTGACCACCATTTTTAATCTATTCACTACTGCAGGGTCCTACAATCCAATCACCTCTTCAAGGCTCTACCTTTTAATTACCATAATAGGATTTCCCACCCTTTTAACAGTCACAGTGGGGGCTAGTACATAAACTGAGGGGACACAATTCAAGCTTCAATGAGTTTTGGGGGATATAATGCAATCCACTACACTTCTCTTGCTAAAATTACCAACGACCTCCTAGATCTTCAATTCAGTAGTTTACCAATCCAAATCTTCTGGGATCGCTCTGCAGTAGTTTCTTGAAACTCACTCTTCTGCCCTCCATGGATTATGGATCTTTCTCTCTCTTTCACTTTAATTGATCTGTTTGCATACCTATGTTTTCCTCCCTTCATTGATAACCCCCTGTATGTCTTATTCATTTGTATCTCTATTCCCCAGCACAGTGCCTGGCACACAGTAGGTCTTAATAACTGTGAATATTAAATGATTAAAACTCTCTCTTGGCTTTCAAGCCATCACTCTCTCTTGATCTCCTCTTTCTCTGACTACTCATTCTCAGATGACTTCGCAATCTCTTCCTCCTCCGTAATTACCCATTAAACATTCTTCAGAGTAACATCCACCTTTTGGGCTTCAGCTATCAGCGAACACCCATATTCCCAAATGCATATTTTCAATCCTACCTTTCACTCGAACTAAGGCTGCCCCTCTCTCCCTAGAGGTCTTGCAAGCAGTTCAAATAAAGACTCATTATCCTCTTCCATTCCCAACCTGCCCTCCTCCTGCAATGCTCAGTCAATGGAATTAACGTCCATCCAGTTGTCCAAGCTACAAACCTCAAAATCCCTTAACTCTCAGCTCAGTCTTTGCCTCCTGTCCTATATGGCAACAAGCTTCATCCACTACCAAATCCTGACCACCAAACTGCTAAACCCTGCCTCTGGGTCTTTATTTCTCCTGTTTCTTCCATCTGGAACACCTCTCCCACTATGTACCAAATCCTATTCGTTATTTGAAATTCAGAAAACTAGAAAACTTCAATTGATTGCTTCTTCCTCTGAGTTCTAAATAGCTCAGTGCTAGGTTTTGTTTTTTAATGGCTTATTTAAACATAGTTGCCTCACTAGATTGTAAAATTCTTTACAGCAGTTATGTTTTTTGATCATTGGGTCCAGTGGCTGACATTGTAGGCAATTAAAAAATACTTTTATATGAATGAATGAATGAATGAATGAATGAACGAACGAACGAATAAACGAACTAGGAAAGACAATCTTTTCAATTACACACTTTCTGAGATTACTGCCAGAGAATCTTTGAGTTAAAAGGACAAAAATTCAGTTTAAAACCACGAACATCATGTAACCAAGCCGACAACAAACATTGTAACAACATATACACGCTTACAGAAGACAGGTATTGCTCTTCATCTGGGGAGGTTTTGGTGTTTCGTGCTTTTTGTTGCAGTCGGCCAGTACAGGGATCCGAACCCCTGACCCTGGTGGTGTAACACTGTGCTTCAACCAACTGAGCTCACCGGCCAGCCCTGGTGAGACTTTTTTAACGGCTGTCCTACAGAATTTGATTTTAAGCATTCAGTACTCGGTATGGATAAACAAATTTTAAAAGGGGAGGTATTATTTTAACTCCGTCTGTACTCTTTTATCTTGGAAGACATAAATTAGATAAGTTAAAATGAGAGCAGCCCCCTGTAGCAGTACAGTGCCTGGCCACTTGGTAGGCCCTCCACCCATTTTAACCCCCTTCCTTTCTCCTACCTCATCTTCGTTTTATATTTGAAGCATCGTGAATTTAGAATACCATAAGGAGATTTTACCTTTTGGATTTCAATTTGACCAAAACGTCGCGGACATTTTGATAGTCCCTAGTAACCCATGACTCTCCAACCCAAGGGAAAGAAATCACTGGCGGGGGAGGGGAGAAAGGAGGCGGTGCAAAAACTGCAAAGACAGGCGTACAGGAAGCCGTAGAAGGAAGCTTCTTCGGGAGGGTTTGTCTTTTTTTAACCCCAGAGAGGCGTGACGCGCGAACTGCCGTCGCGGGTTAGTTTCTCCCGCGAAGCGCCCGCCCACGCAGAATTTCCCCGCCCGCCCTCCTGCTTCCGTCCCGCGGTGCGCTGCAGGCCGCGGCCGCTGGGGGCGCCCCGGGCCCCGAGGCTCTGAGGCGAAAGCGGCCGTTCGCCGAGCTTCGCCTCTCCCGCCTCTCACACGGGCGGCGGCAGCGGCGAGCTGCGCACTGAAAGGGCGCTCCGTCCCCGGGCGAGCTGCAGCACGACTGCTGCCCGCG